ACCTGACATCACTAGGTGGACCGGAAATTGGTGAAGCAGACAGTGATGACATCAGTCTATGGTGTGACTTATATTGGTGCCCGTGACCAGATCAAGCGGAGGCTAAAAGAGCGTAATGTCATAGAGGACGATTCAGAGATGTTTGGTGCAGCTTGTTATGCGGCAAAAGTAAGAGAAGTCAATTTAGTGTAGGCTGGAGATGCATGCTCTTTACGGTCTAGCCATTTCTTTTCTTGTTTTGCTGATCATCAACTGCTTTGCAGACCACTCTCACGGCTTTAGAAGAGATGTTTGAGGCTGCAAGAAGCATCATGAATTGGCTTGGAGAATGTGCTAAGGTATTATTTATTGTGTAAGATAGCAGGAAAAAGTGAGCATATGGCTCAATTATATATTTTGAAATAGTTGATAATGTTTAGGCTAGCATGGGCTAGTTTCATCTATTAAATGCCCTGGTGGCAATCCTGGTCTGATCATTAATTCGTTTGATTTTACTATCTTGAAATGATCTTTTAATTGCCTTCTGTTGGAAAGGATTAGTTTAATTTTGAAGCTGCAAGCCAATAACCCTTGAAGCTTTTCTCCTTAGTCATACAAATTCTGGTGCCTGTACAAATTAGAGACTTCTAGTGGTTGATAGGTTTTAGGACCCATTGTCATTTTATGGTTTGAGCGCTTATGTTGTCATGTGAGCCGGTATGTGTGGATTGTTTATGCAGGGTAAGGGTAGAAATGGACTTGGGAGCGTGCTCTGTCATTGTAGTGGCGTTGTGGTAGTTTTGTACTAGTAGGTGTGCCGGGCAAATGTGCTCTTCAGATTCTCAAAATGGGGCTCCATTAGGAAGCGCCCTATAAATATGCAACTTCGCCCAAGATTGAGTAACAGGAGAAAATTTCAGTGGCCTTTATATTAGTTATCTTTCTTTGTATGATAACTTCTCCTTTCATATATCAACCAGAGGTCATAGTAGCGGCATAATAAGTTCCACCAGTGCTTCCTTCTGAATGTAGCGCTGAAGAAAAAGGAACTTACTGGTCTTTTTCCCCTGAGGAGTCTTTTTCTATTGGGGATGTGCACCTTCTCAGCCTGCATTGTTGTTCTAATAGCCTCTCATGCCTCATGCCATGCTGTTTCTGAACTGGTTCACGTGAACCGTAAATTCTGGAAAAAGGAATGCAGTTTATTAGGAAGAGAACTTTTTCTGGAAGTTTCCTCACTTTCCTGTGATGTGAATACTTGGTAAAATTCAAGACCACCTATATTTAGGAGCAAGTTATAGCAAATATATTTTAGGATTCCAATATATTTTCCCATATTTTAACTGAAATCAATCATAAGACCATCAACGATGTTTCTCATCAGCAGCCTCCACTTATTAAAGGTGCATTTGGATTAGTTTCGGGTAAAACAAAGCTTATAAAATTGATTTATAAGCATAATTGATTTAACAATAGGGCATTTTGATAAATTTTTAGGAAGGTATAATTAAAAGCAAGTAACAGTAACTTATGAGATAGCCATGGTTTTTTCATTCATGATTATTTTTGGCATTTATAGAGTCGGTTGGTGGCTTATGAGGTAACAATGGTTTTGGGTGCATGATTGATGTTGGCATGTATAAGGGGTGGTTGGATATTTTTAAAGAAAACCGTGGCTTTGGCTTTTCAGTTATAGCAGAAATTAATCTTACAAATCAACTCTAACCACATATCCCAAAAATCAGAATCATAAATCAATTTTATTCAAAATCTATTTTCTCACTGCTAATTCTAACGCATACTGGAGTTGAGGAAGTGCTTATAACTCATGTCAGATTTCTGTGATTCTGCTTGAAGATTTTTATAGGTTACTTCACTTTGTTACTATGTTCTTGTTCTAATGCGTTGACCTCTATTGCGTCAGAGTCATTACTGTCTTGTAATGTCACTTGAATTGAATATGAATAGGTGATAGCCTCAGAGAATCAACCAGTGCGGTGGACCAGTCCTCTTGGGCTTCCTGTAGTACAACCTTACAGACAAGTAGGAAGGCAACATGTAAGTTTTTAAAGAATAAAAGCTTAATTTTTTGTCTTTCTTTTTCTAAAAGAAAAATTAAATCAGGGTTGTTGTTAATGTTATTTCTAAATTTAAAGAAATAAGTTGTGACCAATAAATTTCTGCGTCATCAATTCTTTATATTGGCTATGATGCAGGTTAAGACCAGTCTTCAGATATTAACGCTACAACGTGAGACTGACAAGGTAACAGTTATGTTTTTCTTTTGAGGTGCCATGTACACCCTCCCATATAAAGCAAAATAATCAGTATGTACGCGGCATGACCCATATTTACATATGATCCGTATGTTGTAAGATGCATGACACACTCGATTAGATCATTCATGTTTTTATTAAGAACTAAGTTTTCCTATCCATTTCCTTTGTGTTCACCTTTTACTGGTTCATCCGTTGTTGTTTTGCTTTTACTTATTAAGAAGCATGACATCTATTTCTCCCAGCCACTGCATCAGTCTTCTTTTTGGTTTCAATTGGTCATCGGATTTTTTTGGGGGAACATTTTAAGCATTGTTTCAAATCAAGCAAAATAGCTCATTCTGTCCTTTATATTACAGATCATGGTTAAGCGGCAGAGAACTGCTTTCCCCCCAAATTTTGTTCACTCTCTTGATGGTTCTCACATGATGATGACTGCGGTTGCTTGTAAGAAAGCAGGATTGAACTTTGCAGGTCCGTGCTAATCACTGACTCATCCATACAGCTTGCATGCATTGATGCATTAATGTATATGTGCATGTTTGTGGTGTGTTTTTGGTAGTGACATCTAATAATCTTCGTAGTGGGGCTTATAATTTTATATATCATTGTTTGATTACAGGAGTACATGATTCATATTGGACACATGCTTGTGACGTCGATATGATGAACAAAATACTGAGGGAAAAGTTTGTTGAACTTTATGAGGCTCCAGTTCTGGAAAAAGTGAGTATCTTTCTTACATATGCTTCTTAGATTAACATCCTTTTCTTCGCTTGTGTGAGTAGTTTTCCTTGTATGATTGGAACTTTTCAAAATCTTGCAACTCAAGGATATTGATAAAGCAATGGTATCGTGCAATTTATGTAGTCAACCCTACTTAGTGAAATAAAGCTTTGTTGTTGTTATTGCAACTTGAGGACATCGAAGTGGCCCTTATGCACTAATGGCCTTGTGATTTAGCGGCATGAACTCCCTCTCGAGTGAGAGGGCACGAGTTTGATCCTGTTTGTAATTTTAATCAGTTGGCAAATAAAAAAAAGGCCCTTGTGCATATATAGCATGGCCTACAATTGCAAATGCCCGAGAGCTTGATCCCTATCCACCACTTCCCTCATGCCCTACAATTAGGCACTGTGCTTCGTGAAAAAAACCCAAACAAATTCTTGAAGCAACTTGGTAATTTCCTTTTTGTTGGAACAGTGCACTGTCCAGATGTTGGACTGCCTTGCTAATTTATTTGCTTAAAATTGTCGTGCTTTTATGTCTGATGAAATTGTGCATGCAACTCGTGGCAACTGCTGAGCAAGGCCTCTGAAACATTGTCAAATCCAATAATTTATTTCTATATTTTGTTGGCATCCTGGGTAACATACTGAATCTTAGCCCTAAATACGTATCAAGTGAAAGCGGCCGAATGCCTTGGAATTCGATGAAGTTCATCTTTTATATCATCCGATCGTATGCTCTACTTCAGGAAATATATTGAAGTACTCCCCTTATTTTGAATGTTTTTATGTGTGGATATTCTACTTGCCTAAATATCATGCTTACTTTTTTGGCTGGGAGATGTCTTTTAATCGTGATGTTTCCCTTTTTCCCCTTTTTGCAGTTGTTAGAGGGTTTTGAGAAATCTTTTCCATCATTGAAGTTTCCTCCTCTACCTGCCCGAGGAGACTTTGATCTACGAGAGGTTCTAGAATCAAGCTACTTTTTCAACTAGATATTGAAAATTCAAATTGCTGTTCGAGTTCTTCCTCTACCTGGGGAGTTTAGTCCCAATGATGGGATTGGCATTGTATCTTCTATGGGCACGACAGGTTTCAATCGCCATGAGGAGAGGCATGTAGAAGAAAGAAAATTGCAATGCAAAATTTGGGCAGCCAAAATCTTTCTTGCCCTTGCCAGGCGATCGTCTGTACATAAACATTGTCACAGCAGTTTTTCTTCATGAAGAGACGTCCTTCGTATAGGACTCCAGTCATGTGCTACATGTTAACTATTCATCAAGGATACTTGGAAAAATGGCGATTCAACTTGAGATCGTCAGACGGCACTCCAAATAGACCTTGAGAAAATGATCTGCGAATTGCTCGGATCAGATGCAAAGCAAAAGGATTGAAGCCTTGGTATTTTATTCAATAAGGCAAACATATTCGAGACGGATGCTTCTACACTGCCTCTTGCAAAGGAGGCCAAAATGAGTTGTCACGATTCTTTTGTTTTTTTTTGTTTTTTGTTTTTTGTTTTGGCCTTTCATGAGTCTTCTAATATATTTTCTTGTTTTCATTTTTGCCTTGGGGGAAGGGTGGTTTAGAAGAATGTACCCATTATACTGGGGGAACTGTAAAATGGCTGTGAATTGTGATACTGATTTTATCATTTGAATTAATATGTAGAGTAAATAGTACCAATAGAAACAATTTTACTCTCAATGTGTTCCTTGCTTATTTTCCCTTTCATTTTGTTGGATTGATGGAGCATATTTGGGAAAATATGACGAGTACATGGATCAAATGAGCATGTCATCTGTCTTTTTGGCATGAAATTTCACTTATGTCCCTTAACTTTTCTCAATTCCAATTTCGTATTTCGCCTTCCGAAGGCTTCACTTTGCTGACTTCAATGTGTAAATATAAACACAATTCCTCCTGCGAAACTGAGAGATACAGCGTAATGAACGTTCACCTTTCAGAGTTATGCATGAACATCATAAAGCAAAAGAAACAGGGTATGCAGTTGAAGTCACCCAAATCACGGCCGAAAAAACCATGAAATATAATTATTATAATTAATTTAATTTAATTTAATTCTTGCAATACAAGGAGAAATATGCAACAACCAATTCTTGAACAAGTTCTTTGTCATTTGATTCCATTAGTGAGGAAACTCTTGATCTCAAAACTCTCACTGGATAGTCAGAGGCCACGAAAATGTTTGTTCCAAGAAAAGGGTCTTATCCGTCCATTCTTACCAAGCCAATATAAGTGATCATTCATGAGGATCAACATGTTTACTAAAGATAGCATTGGCATTACTGTATATGGCCATCACATTTGAGGACACAGCCAGCACAATCATGACAACAGATAAAACCTTATCTTTCGTTGTTGCAATACCATTAGGATCCCTGAAAAATGGCAGAAACAGAGAAGTGAGGGACATAGCCATGCAGTTGATGTAGTATTGAAGTCTGAAGCACGTTAAATATAGCAAGATAACTACAGTAAACTTGAGCACATCGAAAATAAATAGACCAAACCTCATCCCTTTACATTGTGCTTAACACTTTGTATGATGAAAAACTAAAATTTGACGGGAAAAAAACCAGAGAAGTTTGGAAGTCTTACCTTAGAGCAATTGCAGCAGGAAAAATGAACCCTAGGCAAACAGTAGCAGTTGCTCCAGTGAATTGGAAAGCATCCCAAATGCTAGGTATAAAATTTGCCGCCACATATATAAAAGAGATGAGTCCAGTTGTGATCAACACAAACCTAACATTATCTAAATCCATTGACCTAGCTGAAGGGAAAAGTAAATCATCAAAATTGAAGCGCAGTGAGAAGAAGATGACTGGGAAAACAAGCATAAGGTGGAGGGCATAGCTGAGGCGAACGATGTCATTGAGCAGGCTGCTGTAAGGGATGCCAAGGTCAGTATCAAAGTTGGCCAGCACATCATCAAGGGTTGATTCACCAAACAAAAGAAACCCAAATAAGGCCGTAAATATATAGACACTGGAACATAGAACCAGAGAAGCACGTACAACTTTATGTATCGAGGAAGAGTCTGCTAGCTCATTGTCTATTGTGTGCACTGCGAAAGACATAACTTTGATGAATCATATCCTTCCAGAACTTATAATTGCTCAGAGTTTTTTTGTTTCAATGAAGTACTTAAATAATCTAGCACGCATGATATTGGAAAAAAAGGAAAAGAGTCGTGTAGCAAATTGATGTTCGATGGCAATAAAATGAAGCATTAATCTGAACCCTTCAATTGGCTTTACATAGCGAAAGGCATAACTATGTGAGAACCACCAGCATAAAAGCCATATTCAAAACAGAGAATAAAAAATAACAATATAAAACACACCAGAAATTTATAAATTTGAGTATATTGTGAACTCCCAAGCATTAAACACTGAAATAAAGATGCTTTACAGTTCATGACTGGCAAGCTGATTATGTATCTCGAATCTCAATAAGTCATTACATGAGGGGAAAGTAGCACAAGATAGTGACCAAACATTAATTATCATAGAAAACAATGAAACCCTTTCTATTAGGACCTCATCAGCAACAAAATGTGTGCCAAAATAAATAGCACTGAGAAATTTTGGTTTATACCTCCTCTTAACCTCACAGGAGCTCAAAATCTATCATCCACTGTGGAATTTCAAATTGAGAATTTTCACAACAATAAGAGTACTTGCAGTCAGGAAACATACCATTGTAATGACAGACAAACGCTGTCACAAGAACAGGGGTTGCTGTAAAGAGCTTCCAGGCAGACGTAAAATCGGTAACATTAGGGAGCAACCTGGGTCTGGTAATGCTACCATTAAACAATTTTATAAATGTTATCCCCGCCGTTATGACTATAAATACAATTGCCAGTGCCACCGCTAAAGCGGAAGTATATCTCAACGAATCTGCAAGCGCACAAAAAGGTACCGGTTATTCACAATAATAATTCAACAACCATAAATCATGTTTGACTTAAAACACCCTGTTGTAGCTCGCAATTAACAGAAAGGAAATTACCTATCCGCTTGAAGAATGCCAAAGGAGTAAATACAAATAGGGTTGCCACAAGGAGAATAAAAGTACGCCCAGTCCACCAGTATTCGCCAAACCATCCTTCCAATACACCAGCATGATGAGTTCCACTTGAAGATGTTCCAGATAGCACATCACCTTGTCATCAATTAGCAGACCAATCAAAACAAGTTTAGTCCTTCAACCTTTTTGTCAAGGGTGGAACTACTAGAGACTTTTTAATCATATCAAATAATACTCCAATAACTTCTTAGAAGTGAAAGCGCACGAAAGATCTGAACATAGTTTTCTAGATTATTGAGACAAGGAGGAAATTCAATTTTGCTGATAACAAGACTTGATTCATGATCAGATAATATATGGTAGTTGCTATCAATACTCTGAATCAGCCATATTCTTTTCGGATATGGGATCCTCCTTGTTTGCAACAGTAACGATGATTTCCAGAAAAGTGGGAAACAAAGGAATGAACTCATAAACGAAAAATCTAAATGCATTACCAATTATGATCACGTAGACGACGAGAATTCCAAAATTGTTAAGCAGAACGCATAACTGAAAAGCCCATCTTCCAACACTTCCAAAGGCAAAACGCATTACTTCCCCATAGGTCTCAGCCTTTCCTACTCTGCTAAACCTTATCAGAATCTCTAAGGAAGTCTCCGTAAGCAACGCAAGAAAGACTATGGCAATAATTCCCAAACCCAATCCCAGAACTTTCATGGCAGCAGGTAAGGCCATAATTCCAGCTCCAATAATGGTGGTAGATAAATTGAACACTGACCCACTAAAAGATGCCCCCTGAGAACCCACATCTTTCTCATTCACTAGCAGAGGAAATTGCTCATCAACAAGCACCTTCTTTCTTCTTGAATCGTTCTGAGTGTTCTGATGAACCATCGTGATGAAAGCTTCTCCCTTTTCCTTCTGCTTCTTCTCCTTCTCCTTTTATCCCGGAAGTATTTATTTCTAGCCAGAAAGCTATTCGTGTACAAATTGCAAAACGATTATCAATGCCAAGCTAGCGTTCCTATCCAAAATCGAAAAGAAAATAGCTGTAAACAAATCCCAAAAAGAAAAATCTGATGTGATAGCTGATCGCTCAGTCTCAATATGGAAATTTGGCAGACTTCTCCATGTCCCCAATATTTATGAGAATATTTTAATAGATATCGTTCTCCAAATTAATTTAGTAAGGAAGGATGGGGAAGAAGTTCACTAATCCTTACCAGTAATAATAGAAGCATAAGCCAAAAAAATGACGGCTTTCGGATACTGTCATTCGTCTTCAAGGATATTAATGGCATAATTATTGTAATACAAACCATAAACATCACGCACAATCACCTCATGAATCTCGGAAATTTGGTGAAAAAGTCCTATTAAAAATTGGGAAAATGCCAGAAAAATGCACCTCCAACTCCAAAAGCCCAAAAACGTCCGCCGAATTTCAGTAATTCCGTTTTGGTACCAGCAGACCATTCTGGGATTATTTTCTTAGACAAAAAGACCAAACCGCCCTCAGTGTTATTTTAAACAAAAGGTGGGAACAGAGGCGGTTTTTCGACTCTCTCATTCTCGACCCCTGTTGCAGCCGACGGAGCGAAGAAGAGAGGAGAAGAGAGCGGAGGAGGAAGCTACTACCGGCGTCGAAGAAGAGAGAAGAGACGAAGGAAGAGCGTTTGGTGGTCACCGTCGAAGAAGAGAAAGGAAAAGAACGACGGAACGGCTACATTGCGGCAATCGATCGAAGGTGAGGAAGAGAGAAAAGGAGGAATTTGCGGTGAGACAGAGGTAAGTTTGTTAACATTTCTTCCTTCTCTGTGTTTGTTCAAGTTATATATTTGATATTGCTACTACTTTTAAGATGTCGATCGAATGTGTGTGAGAGGGAGTGGGCAGTTTCTGGAGATGAAAATGACAAAGTGAATGTGCAGAAAGTGGAGGACCCACTAGATTGCTTGCATTTCACCATATGATGACTGATATACTTTCAGGAGTGTGGACCACATACACAGCCCACAGCCCCGTACCTTTTCTTTTCTTGTTAATGATTTCACTGTTTCATCACTACTTTATCTCTACCTTTTTGTTCTTTTCATTCACATTTCCCACTCCTCCAGCCCAGCCACCAAGCTATTCCTGTCAGCTTAATTAACATCGATGACACTGTTATCTCTATGGACAATAATTGTCTTTCATCTATTAGCCTAAGTTAAATGCATATTAGTATAATTGTATAGTTTGATTTAAGGTATGAATCACAGTGATGGTGTGGGGGAGTGTGTATAAGGGTGTAGAGGGCGCCAAACTTAAAATAATTATTTGAAAAAAAGGTGAATGTACCCACTGTCATGTAAATATATATATGTTGTTAATCCCTACACTGGAGTTGTAAAATTGTAACCGAAGTTGGAGAAAAGGGTTTGTGTTTTCTTGAAAATGCTGTTGTGAATAGCCATACTGAAGTTGTAAAAGTATATGTAGATGTTGTTAAGCCGTACACAAGGGTTGTAAAGTTGTAACCGAAGTTGGAAAAAGGGGTCTGTGTTTTGTTGAAAATACTGTTGTGAATAGTCATACTGAAGCTGTAAACATGTATATAGATGTTGTTAATACCTACACCGAAGTTGTAAAATAGTAACCCCGAAGTTGGAAAAAGGGGTCTGTGTTTTCTTCAAAATGCTGCTGTGAATAGCCATACTGAAGTTGTAAATACTTATATAGATGTTGTTAATCCCTACACTGGAGTTGTAAAATGGTAACCGAAGTTGGAGAAAAGGGTTTGTTTTCTTGGAAATGCTGTTGTGAATAGCCATACTGAAGTTGTAAAAGTATATATAGATGTTGTTAATCCGTACACAAGGGTTGTAAAGTTGTAACCGAAGTTGGGAAAAGGGGTCTGTGTTTTGTTGAAAATACTGTTGTGAATAGTCATACTAAAGCTGTAAACATGTATATAGATGTTGTTAATACCTACACCGAAGTTGTAAACTAGTAACCCCGAAGTTGGAAAAAGGGGTCTGTGTTTTCTTCAAAATGCTGCTGTGAATAGCCATACTGAAGTTGTAAATACTTATATAGATGTTGTTAATCCCTACACTGGAGGTGTTAAGTTCTAACCGAAGTCGGAAAAAGGGGGTTTGTTTTCTTCAAAATGTTGTTGTGAATAGTCATACTTAAGTTGTAAATATGTATATAGATGTCGTTAATCCCTACACTGGAGTTGTAAAGTTGTAACCGAAGTTGGAAAAAGGGGTCTCTGTTTGCTTGAAAATACTGTTGTGAATAGCCATACTGAAGTTGTAAACATCTATATATATGTTGTTAATACCTACACCGGAGTTGTAAAATAGTAACTCCGAAGTTGGAAAAAGGGGTTGTGTTTTCTTGAAAATGCTGTTGTGAATAGCCATAATGAAGTTGTAAATACTTATATAGATGTCGTTAATCCCTACACTGGAGCTGTTAAGTTCTAACCAAAGTCGGAAAAAGGGGTCTGTGTTTGCAACAAAATGTTGTTGTGAATAGTCATACTGAAGTTGTAAATACTTATATAGATGTTGTTAATCCCTACACTGGAGGTGTTAAGTTCTAACCGAAGTCAGGAAAAGGGGTTTGTTTTCTTCAAAATGCTGTTGTGAATAGCCATACCGAAGTTATAAATAACTATATAGATGTTGTTAATCAGAAGTTCCTAATTGTTTTCTGACATGCTTGTATTAATGTGTAATGTGCAGAAAAAATGGTGTTGGAGGGAGAGACATCAACTTCAAAAGGGCCAAGGAATGGGTATGTCTTATTTAGAGAGGAATTTGCTCAAGGGAAAAAATTCAAGGGTGTAGTAGATAGAACTAACAAGGCGAAAGAGGCATGGGCAAGGCTCTCTATTAAGGAGAAGAAAATATATAGTGAAAGGGCCAAACAAATGAGGCCGGAGAAGAAGAAGAGTAAGAGAGTATGGAAAATGTTCACCCGTTGCTCTGTTCGTCAATTCATGTCACTGGCGGAATTTGTTAAGAGTGATGAAAGTTTAAGACAAAGGATAGAGAACATAGGATTCTCTAAGTTGTTGGATGTGGAAATTGACAAACTCCCACGTGAGTTAATTGTAGCTTTCATTCAATCGTACGATCCAGCAACACATCAGTTCCGATTAAGGGGGAGGACAGAAGAAGTTGAGGCAAACGATGTGGGAACATTGCTTGGTGTGCCCCATACTGGGGAAGAGGTAAAAGGAGATGTTGATGAAAATCATGACACATATAAGAAGCTGAGGAGAAAGTATTTAAATGTTGTTTATAGCAAGATATTAGCTGACATAAAAAGTGGGACGGATGATGAGCATTTTGAACTATTATTTATGTTGGTCACACTTGGCACATTTCTAGCTCCAACTTCAAGTGCAAGAGTTGGTGAGAAGTTATTAAGGGTGGTATGTGCAACTATGAATGGATATGAACAGTATGATTGGGCAACGTACATCATGAATGACCTCTACAAGGAAATGGAAGATTATGTGAATTTGTTCAGGAAGGAGAGGGATCCGTGCTGCACTGTGGGTGGCTGCCTGTACTTCTTGGTGGTATGTTTAGAGCAAAACATGTTGTTCAATGTTAATGTAACTGTTTAATTCAATTGGCTAATGCGGTGTGTTCTATGATTGTGGTTGCAGCTATATTTGGGTGAGAAATTCCCATTGTCAAAAGCTACTAACCATGACCCAACAAATGCTATTGCATATTGGACGGATAAGAGAATAAAGGAATTGGTCAACAAAGAGTCAAAGAGTAACATAGGCCTATTGTACAAAGGGAAGTCTACAAAAGTGGTCGAAGATACAATAAGTGTTGCTCATCTACGACCGGTATGTTTATAGTTTTGTATGTATAAAATTCATTAATATGTAAAGAGTTTAACTGTTTAGCAAATGTGTTAGCAGGAATTGAAGCAAGTGCATCGAAGGATGATGGATGCACTTGAGGAAAGCCATAAAAGGCTTAGTAACCAATTTGCAGAGGAGCTTATGAAGGTGCAGCTCCATCTACAGGGGATGCCAAGTTCAAATCTGAGGGACCTTGTTGACAACACACGCGATGAGGCAGTGATTCTTCCATCTGATGGTAAAGGTGAAGAGGGAGGTAGTGACAAAGGTTATAGTGATGGAGATACTGCTGAAGGTGAAGCCCATGATCAGGAAAGAGGTAGTGATGAAGGTGATGAGGATGGAGAGGAAGGAGACAGTGAGAAAGGTGATGATGAAGGAGATAAAGGGGTGGAGTCATCAGATGAAGAGACTGACAAGGGAGAAGACCAAAGGCCATCAAAGAGAACAATCATTCCAAGTCGTCAAGTAACTTCTCCATGGATTTCCATGTTGAAGCCTGTTAAGAGGAGAAAGAGAGTGATAACTGAGAAAGACAAGTTTTTCAACATTGTCTCTCGTATGTGTTCACGGGAGGAGGGTCAGAAGTAAGATATGCCGTGCATGGAACATTGAAAGCAGGAAATTTTTTTCATCTTGTTTTGTTATTGTTGTTTTACTTACATATGATGTATACATTGCAGGATTATGGTTACAATGTGTGATGAACAAATTGATCGGGATCAATTGCGCACGATAGGTGGAATCGAAAGAGTGAGTAGCCCTCTAATAACAATGGTCGGTAGGGCATTAATGGCAGAGGCAGGTGAGGGAGGACAAGTGAGGCGACACATTTTTGATGCTGAGTTCATGGTGAGCCCTGTGGTGTGTACGGTTTGTTTGACAATTACAGGTTGTGATGATTAAACTAATATGTTGTTTTGTAGATGAAAATGCTTGGTAACCCTTCTCAGTGGCGAGCATCAGAGAACAAACGTGCTATTTTGCCACAGCATATCGGGTACAACCTAGGTGACTGTGATTTAATATTTGGACCCGCAATTGTTGAGTCTCACTGGTTTTGCTTTGTGTTGGAGCCAAAAACAATGCATTTTTATGTCCTGGACTCCATGAGGCTGCCTAATGATATGCCAAAGAAGACCAAGAAGAAGGATTCATTGGAAGAAAAAAGGATGTTTCATCTTCATGCATGTGTAAGGACTAAACTAAT